AATTGATGACCCCCATATTGATTACTATTATTAACTAATGGTCATAGTTCACATTAGGGTTCACTCTTCACATTGTACATTCCATGGGTTTTGACAGACATATCATACACAATAGTCTCCCTGCCCCCAAAAATTCTCTGTGCTATGCCTGTTCATCCCGCCGTTCCCCCAAACCTTGGCAGCTGATCTTTTTACTGTCTCTAGTTTTGTCTTTTCCATAATGCCACATAGTTGGACTCATACAGGACATGGCCTTTTCAGATTGGCTCTTCTACTTAGTAATATGCATTTAAGGTTCCTTCTTGTGTTTTCATGGCTTAATAGCTCATTTTTTTTTTAATGCTGACTAAGACTTCATTGTCTGGATGGACCACAGTTTATTTATCCATTCACCTACTGAGGGACACCTTGGTTGCTTCCAGGTTTTGGCAGTTGTGAGTAAAACTACTGTAAACATCTTTGTGCAGGTTTTTGTGTGGACATAACTTTTCATCTTATTTGGGTAAATCCCAAGGAGCACAGTTGCCAGATTGAGTGATAAGATTCTGTTTAGTGTTATGAGAAATTGCCAAGCTGTCTTTCGAATTGTACTAGTTTGCATTCCCACCAGCAAAGAATGAGAGTTCTTACTGCCCCACATCCTCTTAGCATTTGGTTTGTCAGTGTTCTGGCTTTTAGCCACTCCAATAGCTGTATAGTGGTGTCTTACTGTTTTAATTCCCAATTCCCTGAACATAGATGATACTGAGCATTTTGTATATGCTATTTACCATCTGTATGCCTTCTTTGGGGGAGGTGTCCAGTTCTTTTGCAAATTTTTAAATTAGGTTGTTTGTTTTTTTATGATGAGGCTTTAAAAGTTCTCTGAATACTTTGGATACCAGTCCTTTATCAGATATGTGTTTTGCAAATATTTTCTCCCAGTCTGTGGCTTGTCCTTTCATTCTCTTTATGTGTCCACATAGATTTTTGAGACTTGTATTTTAATGGGGAATCAAGGGAGCCTGCCTACCCAGAGACTGCCATTTAAATGTCATTTTAAACCATAAGTCTGACATGAAAACTCTTTGAAGGGAAAATATTCTGAATTTTATGACAGATTTGATAGAGGGAAAGAAAAATATCAAATATGAATTAGAGTTTAGTTGTCAAAAATAATTTTGGTACAGCAGAATCATGCCTGTGGAAATACAAGCTTTGAAAAGCCTCACGTATTTTACAGTAATAATTAGGAAACGTAGTCTGGCCAGTTTTAGAGGAATACAAAGAAAAGTGTATACTGTTAGAAGATAAATACCGGCTGACCTCACTGTTAGACAGATAATATCTTAAGATTATCCGACTTGATAAAGACCTACACAGAACAGCCTCCTCTAGTGTTATTGACCTGCTCACTCATGATACCTGTGTGGTGTCTTTTAGTCCTGACCGCTTCATTCATCCACAGTCATTCATCCGTTTCGTCTTTGGTTGAATGATGTATTCTTCCTTTGCCTCCTTGTAGTAAACTTTGGATAACCCTAATGGACACAAAAAATAATTTTTCAAAAATGCTTACTTTTTAGAAAGACTCATTTCATTATTATTTTCTTCATATTTAAACTCAGTTATTGAATTTGCTTATTAAGACAGATATTATAAAAAGGAAATTGAGAACATATTTAGATTTTAAAACAAAAGTTTGACCATTACATGTGACCAAAGATGAGTTGTGAAATTATGTGACTTTTATTTGCAAACCTTCTAAGAGATGTAATGGAGACGGCCTTGGACAGTGTTTCTCTTTTAAATTAATATACAGTATTTTAATAGGCGTGTATGATAGAAAATAAACTTGTGAGGAGGGTAGGAACTTTGATTATAACTTAATTTTCAAATTCTACCTTCTCTCAACGATAAAACTTCTTGTTTTAGCATGTGAAGCTGGAAGAAGTTTTAGTTGAAGGTTGTAATTTGTTTTATGTAATGCATTATTTTTTATAGAGATCTTTACCTCATTCAAATGTACATTTTATATAAGGTATGTTAGAATTTCTTGCCTGTTAATGAAGTTTATACATTCTTTGAAGGAGATTAGAAAACATATACACACACACATATATATGTGTGTATATATGTCACATATATATGTATATATACACACATATGTATATATCACACATATATCACACATATAGTACATATATGTATATATCACATATATATCATATATATCACATATATATCATATATAACACACATACATATACACATACATACATATACACACACAGTTTTTTTGTTTTTACTGTCTGTGGAACTCAAGTATGCTAGTAAATGGTTTATTACTTATATTCAATTATTTAAATTCAGTTTATTGTGAAATAAAGAAAATTGGTTTAAGGAGATTAGAAACCCTTTGTTCGGTTAGGTTTTTAAAATAAAGTAATAACTGTTTTCTCTTCCAGCTGTGTGACTGGCTACGTGTTAATGAAAGCTATTTTAAGCCATCCCCAATGTGTAGCTCCATTGGACTTCACAAGACATCTTTAAATGCTTATGTGAAGAGCCTTATTCAAGAGTATGTTAAGTCATCTGCTTGGGAAAGTAAGTCTGCAATCATTTTTATGGATTGATATAACCAAAATATTGTAAAGAACTTTTAACTAGTTTTTCAGACCCAGAGTTAGGCTTTATGAAATATATGATGATTTATTGATGCCAAACTTGTATTTCAGTAAAATAATATGAAAAAAAAAACGGAAAGATACTGTCTTCTAACTTGTATTAATACTTTATCTCTTCTGAGACTTGAGATTTTAAATTACTTTATGTTTAAGGAAACTAATAAGTTGCCAGAGTTAAGAAGTGGACAAAAGTAATTTATTTATTCTACAGTTACTGGGTCCCTGTGAACTAGATACTGCAAATATGGCTTTGGAGCCTCTGTAGTGGAAATATGTGCATTGGAAATATGTGTTTATCTTTTTCGTTTTTAAAGCACTACGTTTAGTATGAACTGATTATGAAAAACAATTTTAAACAAAAGCTGTGTTTAAAAGGATAGTTTTGTTAGTTTCTTTTTCAGCAGATACTTTGCAACATCAATTTTACAAAAATCCTTTCTTTGAGGAAATACGTAAGACATTAGAGAAGCACTCTTAACAGATTCATTAATTAGGATTCTTTTTACATTCCTAATGCTTCCTTTTCATTAAAGTCATTGGTGATAATTTAGGAAAATTGCATCTTCGAATTTAACATGTCTTAAATTTCCTTGCTGTGTCTCACACAAAGTCATTTTCATCTCCTGGTTTCTCTAAGCTGACCATGGACTAGGTCTTAAATGATGAGATAATTATGCTTCCAAAATGCATGAGTTTATGCTTCTTGGAACATTTGTCTTTTGTGTTTTTAGTCTTTTTTGGTCTGTCCGTGTCTAGTAAATGTCCTATGCTGTTAACATTGGAAGATTATTTGAAGTAAATATGTTAGTCCCTATTAAAGTGGACATCCACTGGGGAGTCAGATAGAGGCCTGAGAGGCCATGGCCTTTGTGTCTTCATTTAATCTCATTGCTGGTCACATTTTAGGGAAGACTCACTTCAGCTGAAATACTAGAGTTGCCTCTTACCGAGTTACCTTGCATCTACCGTTGCTTCCTCTGCAATATCTTTTCCACATGGTACCTAGATAAATCTTTTCAAAATACAAATTTTGATCTTAGACATTTTTCCTCCACTTCTTTGTATATGTTCCTTTTAACCTTCGGTGGCTTCCTGTTGCCTTTAGGGCAGAGACAAAGGTCCTCTGCATGGCCTGCAAGGTTTCCTGGTCTCTGTTCTCTGCCTGTTTATGCCCCTTCAGTTTTTGCTACTCCCTGTCACGTAGTGCACACCTGAGCATACTTCTGTTTTCTGAATATGGCATGCCTCCTTCTGCCAGAAGACCTTTGATGTGCTCTTCCTTCTGTCTAGAAAGTTCTTATGTCCCTTCATCTTTCCTCTTGAGTTGTCACACTCAGCCCAATTGTCATTTCTTCAGGAAAACTTCCTCTTACTCTCCAGATAAGGGCACATCTTCTCAGTGTAGACTCCACTAGCACCATTTACTTCTCCTTTATAGCCTTCACTATAATTGCAATTTTCTATGTATTTATTCTTTGATTAATGCTTTTCTCCTGTACACTGAATTCCATGAGCACAGGAACCACTGTGTCTGCAGCACCCAGGTAATTGCATGGCATGTAGCAGGTACACAAATTTGTTTTTTGTTCATGTGAAATAGATACGTATAATAATGAGCCATGCTCTAGGGTGTTCTACTGTATTTCATCTCAGTTGTATTTCTCTCATAATTTAATAAGGCATAATCATTTAGTGGGGTTTTTTTTTTTTTTTGGAGCATCATCCTTGAAGGATTTTGTTAATGCTTTGCAAACCTTAACTATTGTTATTTAAGCAGGAGAAAACTGCTTTATGCCTGATTGGTTTGAAGCCAAGCTTGTTTCTTTGATGGTCTTGCTGGCTGTGGATGTGGAAGGAATGAAGACTCAATATAGGTAATTGTTCTATAATTGAAAAGAAAACCTATTTTTAAAAAATCCTGATCAGAATTATGATGTGTATGCAGATTTTTGAATGATTTAAGTGAGTTGATCACAAGGTATTAAGGGAGGGTACTAGAACATTCACAGTATACCAAAGAAATGTTTCAAGTTAATAACAAATAGGAATAAGGGCATATTAGTGCTTTTAAATTGGTAAATTAAATGTTAAACTTAACAATTTAATGTTAATTAGATGGCTGGGCGCGGTGGCTCACGTCTGTAATCCCAGCACTTTGAGAGGCCAAGGCGAGCAGGTCACCTGACATCAGGAGTTTGAGGCCAGACTGGCCAACATGGTGAAACCCTGTCTCTACTAAAAATACAAAAATCAGCCGGGCGTGTTGGCACATGCCTGTAGTCCCAGCTACTAGAGAGGACAAGACGGGAAGCTCACTTGAACCGGGCGGTGGAGGTTGCAGTGAGCCCAGATTGTGCCATGGCACTCCAGCCTGGGCCACAGAGTGAGACTCTGTCTGAAAAAAATTTAATGTTAAATTAGAGAAGATTAAAAAGCTATATACAATAATCACTGGTTTTATATCAGAATATTAGAAGTGGATTACAAGATTCCAGTGTAAGTTTAGGTAAAGAGATTTACTGGATTTGACTCCTTTGTACAATACATAATCTAAAAAAATAGTAATAAAGATAAAACAATCTTACAACAGTCTTATTTATATTTTGTGAGAATGGAAGCAGCTCAGTTTTCACTAGATTATAGTTTTGCAATAAGCAGCATCCTTAGGTAGATCCGGTAGGATATTTGCATGGTATACAGTAAATTTGGTTTACACCAAATCTCTTTTCTAGACAAAGATTTTGTACTGAAGTTGATTATCTAGCCTGGGAAAATAAGTGAGACCCTGTCTCTACAAAAATTAAAAAATTAGCCGGGCATGGTGGCTCACACCTGTGGTCTCAGCCTCTTAGGAGGCTGATGTGGGAAGATTGCTTGAGCCTGGGAGGTTGAGGCCACAGCGAGCTCTGATCACACCGTAGCACTCCAGCCTGGGCGACAGAGTGAGACCCCATCTGGAAAAAAAAAAAAAAAAAAAAGTCGGTTATAACAGTTTTTAATGAATCCTTAGTTGTTTTTGTTTGTTTGTTTTGGATTTTTAAAAACATGTTGTATTTCCTTGACTAACTTATGTTTGTTTTGGTTTTATATTTTTGTATTATGGAAGCAGGGTCTCATCAATTTAATTTACACATAAATTGGGTATAGGATTTCCTTCCTGCTGGTGCCTGGCATTGAGGATGGTAGTTCTTCCCTGTGCCTTCTTTAGTGAGTCGCTACAGTGGGGAAAGCACGGACCAGAAGATGAGTCCTCATAGCTGCTGGTTGTCTGAGTCTTTCATGAGAGTAACTTTGTCTAATTGGATCCGTTAGCTAACCAGTTTTCACCCAATTATAGGCGGGAAACAATTTGCTTATGCTTTTGAAATGGTTGATTTTGGCATGTCTTTTAATGTCTAGTGGAAAGCAGAGAACAGAGAATGTATTGCGGATATTCTTAGATCCTCTTCTGGATGTGCTTATGAAGTTTGGTGCCAATGCCTACATGCCCTTGCTGAAGACTGACAGATGCCTCCAGTTGCTGTTGAAGCTGTTGAACACATGCAGGTTGAAAGGTTCCAGTACCCGGGATGGTGAGGATAAGTTGTTTCTCTCGGTGTCTTGCTTGATGCAGCATTGGTATTTAGAGTGAGAAGAAATTTCTGACTTTTTAAAATAGAAGACTTAACTCAGTAAATAATGTATTGAGAATCTCGCAGTGGCGCTGGGGATACAGTGTTGAAGGAGCAACTATCTGTTCTCGTGAGTTGACATTCTAGTGGTTTACATGCGTTGGTTACTATAATGTAATTTCATTTGCTTTTTAGAAAAATTTGTGTGTGCTTATTGATTTCCAGACCATTTTAAATGGTCACTATTTTGTATATGTTTAAGCAGGATCCATTTCTGATTGCCACTCTGCTAAAGCATGAGAGTGGCAGTGATTTGATAATTACTTGTCTTTAAATATGTTCATCTTTGAGTACCTTTTAAGTAGAAAATACTTCACAGAGAAAGTTAGTGATAATAGGTAGAAGCATTGAGCTCCTTCTTCTCTCCTTAAACTAAGGTATGTAAAACAGCAGTTGAAAACCCATAGACATCAGAGATGAGAGTAGCGACAGGTGAACCTCCCAGTCCTTCCTGACCAGTGTCATTTGCAGTTTTAGAAATTTCGTATTTAAAAATTCTAGAGGAGCATTAGTATTAGGTTAAACCTGAGAATAAAATTGATACGATTACATTTGAACATATGCTTATGAAATATCCTGTTTTTTTATAATGATAGTAGCAGAACCAAATGCTGTGAAAATACAGTAAATTTTTAGAAGACTTTCAACTCCTTAAGGGCATACATTTGAATTCATTGGAGCTGTCCTGATTATTTACTCCTATGCTCAGTGCTTTCAGTGTAGAACTGACTCACACGTGCCCTTGAAAAATTGCCATAATTTTGGATACAAACAAAATAATGTGTGATATGTAAGTTATATATAAGTTAGGATGCAAAGTAATTAAACACCTGTGTTCTCACGTGCAACCTGAGAACGAATTTACCTGTTTAGTGCCCTCCTGTTACTCTTTGTCTTCCTGTTTTGACTTTTATTACATCCATGCATTTTAGAAAAGGATTTTTAGCACATATATAGATATTTCTCAACGAGATATTATTTTTTTAACTACTTTATTGAGGTATAATTGACATGTTAAAAGGCTTTACATATTTAATGTATGCAACTTGATGAATTTGGGGATAGGTATACACCTGTGAAACCGTCACCACCATCAAGGCCATAGATGTATCTTTCACCTCCCAAAGTTTCCTCCTACTCCTATTATTATTACTCTTTGTAATAAGAAGACTTAACCTAAGATCTTCCCTCTTATCGAATTTATGAGTTAGAGATAGAAACTTGGGAGTCATTAACATACAGATGGTATTTAAAGTCATGAGACTGGATGAGAGTGTTAGGGTAGCAAGTGTAGATGGAGAAGGGGGTCCAAGTACCTTGGGGACACCAATGCTAGAGGTTAGGGAAGTGAAGAGGAACAGCAGAGGATACCTAGGGGAATTCATAGCCAGAGAGGAGGAAAACCAGGAAGCCAGTGAAGAATGTGTTTCCTGAAGGAGGGCAGTATCCCACACCAGAGGCTGCTGATGCCCTGACGGAAGGACTGGGAATTGACCGTCCAAGTTAGCAACGTGGAAATCAGTGGCGACCTCGACGGAAGCAATCTGGGGCAGTGGTGGGGGCCGCTCAGGGAGAGAAATGAAAATAGTGAGTAAAATAGAGAGTTTTTTGTGTGGAGGGGCAGAGGAATGGGGCCGTTGATGGTGAGGAACAAGAAGGTTTTTTGTTTCCTTAAGAGGTGAATATAACCATGTGTATGTGCTGTTGGAAATGATTTCACTGTGGGAGGTTTTGAAGACATAAAGAGGTGGTATTTGCTGACTGGCATCCAAGCATAGGTGAGAGTGTATGGAATCCAGGACACAAGTGGTTCTAGAAGGTTCCAGAAGGAGCACTGATAGAGATAAGTGCAGGTGGGTGGATATAGGAGGTCGTAGAAGTTCTTTTCTAATTTATTCTGGTTTTTTAAGGAAAGAGGAGATAGAGTGAGGGTGGGGGTGGAAGTGGTGGCAATGTGAGGACAGGGTATAAGCATCTGTCTGGGAAGGAGGCTTTGTGAGTGCTCTAAGGCAGTACTGTAGGATTGCTGGGCTTGCTGAGCGCGCCCCTGAAGTTTCGATCGTGAATCCACAGTGACGGCATCCAGACGGCTGTGTTTTCCTCCAGCCTGTGATGTGCAATACCACTTTACTGTGCCTAATCAGATGAGATTCAGGGATTGCCGTTCTGCAGATACAGTTTTTGTAAAATGATGTTTCCATGATTATATGTTTAATCTGCAATAACTGTATAATGTTTATTTTTAAATTTGAGGAAACATACTTTTAGTTACAATACAGCTTCCCTTTCATTACACTGGATTATATGAGCCTTCAGTAATTATTACTGCTTCTGTCCTCACTGATGGCTGAATTGGTCACTGTGGTGGGCTGGTCTTCTTTGCTGAGTCTCGCTTTTTTTGTGGGAGTAATCTCTTGTCTACTGGAACTTTTCTTCCTGACATAGCTTTTTATACATAGTTTTACACATAGATAGTTTTATACATAAAGTTTACATTTTCACTATATGTGAGTGTACAGTTCTGTGACATAGAGTACATCCACACTGTTGTGCAGCCATCACTATCATCCATCTCCAATTTTCCTCTTCCTGAACTGGAACTCTGTACTCGTCAAACACTAATTCCCCATTTTCCTCTTTCCCTAGGCCCTGGCAGTCACCATTCTACTTTCTGTCTCTATGAGGTTGACTCCTCTGGGTACGTCCTACAAGTGGAATCATACAGCATTTGTCCTTTTGTGTCTGACTTATTTCACTGAACATCGTTTCTTCTAGGTTCATCCATATTGTAGCATGTATCATACTTTGATTCCTTTAAAAAGCGGAGTAGTATTCTGTTTTTTGGCTAGATTATATTTAGTTATCCATTCTTCTGTTGATGAACAATGGGATTTTTTTTCACCTTCTCTTTTGTGAATAATGCTGCTGTGAACATGGGTGTACAAATGTCTGTCTGAGTCCCTGCTTTCAATTCTTTTGGAAGTGGGATTTCTGTATCATATGGTAATTCTGTTTCATTTTTTGAGGAACTGCCATACACTTTTCCACAGTGGCTGAACCATTTTACGTTTGCACCAGTAGTGCACAAGGGTTCCAGTTTTTCCACATCCTCCAACACTCGTTAATGGGCTTTAAAAAATAATAGCCATCCTAATGGATATAAAGTGCTACTTCATCATGATTTTGACTGTGATCGCTTTTTGACCAATTCTGGTACCACTTCTTTTGGGATTCAGTTTACTACTACAAATTATATGAGGCATAGGGAAGGAAACCAAACCATAATTTTTTTTTTTTTTTTTTTGAGATGGAGTTTCGCTCTTGTTGCCCAGGCTGGAGTACAATGGTACGATCTCAGCTCACTGCAACATTTGCCTCCCAGGTTCAAGTGATTCTCCTGCCTCAGCCTCCACCATGTCCGGCTAATTTTGTATTTTTAGTTTCTCCATGTTGGTCAGGCTGGTCTCGAACTCCCAACCTCAGGTGATCTGCCTGCCTTGGCCTCTCAAAGTGCTAGGATTACAGGCATGAGGATTATAGGCATGAGTCACTGGGCCTGGCCCCAAACCATAATTTTTATTCTGGCTTGAACTTTTGCCCACAATTTGTATATTGTGACAGGGTATTAAATTCAGAGATGTGGCAGTGACCAAGGGATGTGCCTTGCGGGTGAGACAGAGGCTCTTTTGTATTGTGGTAATTAAGAGGAACCCCTGGGGTAGGGATGATAATATTGGTTGCCTTGCAGGCAGCTACTTTTCTTCATATCATTTTGTTCTCTCTTCTCCAAGGCCTAAGCTTTCCCTTGAAATCTCAAATTTATTTTAATTGAATGAGTTTGGTTGTATACAAGGAAAATAAAACTATTTTATGCTATTAATGTGAGTTTGATATTTAAAGAGTTGACTGTATATATAGGAGAACGAAAAGGCAGAAAGAGTAGTATGGAATATGGAAAATAAGAATATTCTGTTTTTCCCATATTCATTGGTTATAGTTTTAAATTTTTTAATAAAGCTTTTTACTTTCCAATCATTTGCTGGTGGCTTCTTGACCTGGCAAGTGACTCATGAGATACTCCAGAGGCCTTATAATATAGCCCCTGGGTAACATGAAAATTTAAAATTAATTTTTAATATGTGTAATCTCTTAATGAACACTTCTCAGAGTGATAGAAACAGCATTTTGTGAGGTGTCTATTAAATCTTCTGCCTAGTTAGTCCTTTGTCAGATACGTGGTTTGCACATATTTTCTTCTTGTCTGCAGCTTATCTTTTCAGTTTCTTAATAGTGTCTTTTGCAGAACCAAGTTTTTATTCTGATGAAATCCAGTTTATTTTTGTTTTATGGATCATGCAGTAGGTATTATGACTGAGAACTCTGCCTTAGCCCCAGGTCATACAGGATTTCTCCTTAGTTTATTATTGTACTTTTAGGTTTATGATATATTTAGGATTAATTTTTAAGGTGTAAGGTTTAGGTCAAAGTTAGTTTTTTTGCCTTTAGGTGTGTGGTTGCACCAGCACCATTTGTTGGAGAGCCTGAGTATCCTTTCTCTGTTGAATTGTTTTGTACTTTTGTCAAAAATTAATTGGCCGTGATGGAAACAATCCAAAGTAGATGGGTAGATGAATGGATAATATGTGGTTTATACATATTCAGCCATAAAAAGGAATGACGTAGTAATACATGCTACAACATGAATAAACCTTGAAAACGTTATCATAAGGTGATCACTAAAGATCACATATTATATGATCTTATTTAAATGAAGTGTCTGGAATAGGCAAATCTATAGAGACAGAAAGTAGACTGGGGTCGCTTAGGGCTGGGAAAAAACAGGGGTTAAGGGCCTGATGATTTAAAGGGTATGAGATTTCTCTTTGTGGTGATGAAATGTTCTAATGTTGACTGTGGTGATGGTTGCACATATCTGTGACTGTACAAGAAACCATTGAATTAGATACCTTTAATAGGGGAATTGAGTGCTCTGTGAATTCTATCTCAAAAAATTGTTTACAAATAATTAATTTGGCTGTATTGGTATTGGTGTAATTCTGGACTCTATTCTGTTCTTTTGATCTAAGTGTTTATTCCTTTGCCAATACCACAAGGTTTTGGTTACTGTAGATTTATAGTAAGTCTTAAAATAGGTAGTGTGGTTCTTTCAAATTCTTTTTTGTCCCAAAATATTTTTAGGTATTCTAGTTCCTTTACCTTTCCATATAAATTATATCATCAACTTATATGTACCTACAAAAAAAAAGTCCTGCTGGGATCTTGACTGGAATTACATTAAATACATAGATCAGTTTGTGGGGAATTGCTTTCTTATGCTGAAACTTTTAGTGCATGAATATGGTATTTCCGTACATTTATTTATTTAGAGACAGGGTCTCAGTTTGTCACCCAGGCTGGAGTACAGTGGTGCAATCTCAGCTCACTGCAGCCTCCACCTCCCATATTCAAGCAATCCTGCTGCCTCAGCCCCCCAAGTAACTGGGACTGCAGGCGCTCACCACCATGCCTGGCTAATTTTTGTATTTTTAGTAGAAATGAGGTTTCGCCATGTTGTCCAGGTTGGTCTCAAACCTCTGACCTCAGGTGATCTGCCCAACTCAGCCTCCCAGAGTGTGAGATTACAGGTATGAGCCACCGCGCCTGGCCCATCTCTACATTTACTTAGGTTGTTTTCGATTTTTTTTTATCAGAGTTTTATAGTTTTCAGCATATAGATCTTACACAGGTTTTGTAAGATTTGTAACTGTTTCTTTTGAGGGGAAGCTGTTGTAATTGATAGTTTTAAAATTTTCAATTTTTAACTATATGTTACTAATGTATAGAAATATGATTGAAAAATCGGTTTGTTGACCTTGTATCCTGTGACCTTACTGAAGGACTTATTAATTCTAGGAGTTTGTTTGACGGTTCCTTGGTCATTCCCTGACCAGAAAGCTGGCGCCCATTCTGCTGCCCACCTTGTTGACTGCTTCTGCATCTGGTTACAACTGGGAGGAGGACGAGAGGGAGAAACATTAGTAAACTCACCACTGTTCAGTGTTACTTCTCTCTGAATCCACCTGCTATTTTTTCCTTGTCGAGTTTTCAAATAGCTGCTTCGTGCATTCTGTCCAGGATTTATAGCTGTGTTCAGTAGTGGAGGGAAGAGTGTCCCTAATCCATTCTACCTACAACTGGGACTCCTAAGTGACTTAAGGTTAAGTATAGCTTTCCCCATGGGGCGAATAATGATTATATTATTGCAGTTTATTTTTGGCAAGTGATTCACTTGCTTAGCCCAGTTGTACATTTACTAGAATATTTGGTGTGTTTTGTACCAAAGAACTGCTATCATTTTAGTTGCATGCATTTTTCCCCCATACAGATGAGGTGTTTACTGTTCTTCAGAACTTTGTCATGTCTACTACAGAGAGCATTTCTGAATTTATTCTCAGACGACTTACTATGAATGAGCTAAATAGTGTAAGTATTCATTGGAGTAACTTTCATTTCTTTCATTCTTTTCACCAATATTTCAGTGATCACTGACACTGTATTAAATTGAAAAGAAAAATTAATTTTCTCAAGAAATGGTCTTAGGGAGCAGCAGAAAAAAACTTAGACTTTGGAGTCTTCTAGTTCCAATTCTGTCTGTATTGTTAGCTATGACCTTGGGCAAGTTACATAGATCTTCTGAGCCTCACCCCGTGTACATGCAAGGGTTTGGAGAGTTTCAAAGGATGTAACATATTTGAAGTACTACACACATTCAGTGCATTTTGGGGCCCATATCCCGAGATTCTGATGTGGCAGGTTTGAGACCAGACCCTGAGTGGGGGTGCGTGTGTTAAGAATCCATCAGTGATTCTTAAATGCAGTTAGTTTTTAGGTATAGAGGATGCTCTGTGACTGTAGCTGTCTTCTCTCTCTCTAGACTGTACATAATTGTTCTTCTAGGACATCTAAACAAGCTTTTCCCCTTAAAGAATACCTTGAAAATACCAGTTCTGATATGTCTGTTAATTTTTTGTTTGTTTGTTTAAAATATCTGGGGACAAATGTTGAAATAATTTGAATGCTTTTAAATACCCAATTAAATATTAATACATTTGTTTGACAGCTTACGCAGGTATGAAAATATAAAAATACAAGTATTCGACTGAAAGACTTGAGATTTTATTATAGAAAGGCAAGGAAACTATTATGAAAATCTCTTTGGAGTGGGGAATATTTATCTCTATCTTCCTTAATGTTTGTCAAGCAATCATTAATATGAATTCTAGTACACCTAAATTTTTAAGAAGTCATTTATTTATTTTTAATTTTTGTGGGTACATAGTCGGTGTATGTATTTAACCAAGAAGTCATTTAAATATCTAAGTAACTTTAAAATTTAAGTTTTGCTCCAATACCACTTTTTATCTTCAGTATTATTTTTACCTTTTTATATGGGAAATTTCCAAACATATATAAAAGAAGTTTAATGACCCTCCCTTATGCTTATATGATGCCCCGTTATATAACATGTTTTTGTTTGTTTGGATTTTGAAGCTAAATATAGCTTAAAGGGAAAGCTTGATGTTATTTTATCTTTTAGATGCAAAGATTTAAAAAAGTAATTCCATATATGATAGTTTTAAATTGTTTTGAAAAAGCCATTCTTTAATAAATTAATTAGAATTTCCAGTTAAGCATGTTTGTTTAGTAGCTTAGAGTTTAATAGCATTCTCTTCCCACAGTTTCCCCTGTCAGCAGTGTGCTGGTCAGTGTTTAATGACTGACTCTAGGGGAAAAAAGAGCCTGCCTCTGTAGTATTTACCAATTTCCATGGCCGATTTCAACCTACCAATGTGAGGCCATTGAGTTGGAAAGACAGATGACCTTCAGTCTTTGCACTGCAGCTGCTACGCCACTGCCTCTCTTAGTTCACAGAGGAAATAGTGGCTGTCCGGCTGGAATGCTCTCAATTTCCAGTTGCCAGATGTATGGACTTAGGCTATACGCTCACCCACACCTGAATCCATCCTCCCTGTTTTCCCTTTGTTACAAGAGAGTAAGAAAATTGGGATTTCATCCGTTTCCATTTTCTTAAGCATTTTACACTATTGATTATCTTCTTTCTTTCTTGTGTTTTCAATGACTGCTTTTCCCCTGAATTCTTTTCATGAGCGTTTTAACAGGTTTGAGGGTCCCTCATTTTATTTATTTATTTATTTTTTATTTTTCTGAGATGGAGTCTTGCTCTGTTGCCCAGGCTGTGGTACAGTGGCCCGATCTCGGCTCAGTGCAGCCTCCACCTCCCGGGTTCAAGTGATCTCCTGCCTCAGCCTCCCGAGTAGCTGGGATCATGGGTGTACACCAACATGCCTGGCTGATTTTTGTATTTTTAGTAGAGATGGAGTTACACTATGTTGGTCAGGCTGGTCTTGAACCCCTGACCTCAGGTGATCTGCCTGCCTTGACCTCCCAAAGTGCTGGGATGACAGGCGTGAGCCACGGCGCCCAGCCAACGGTCCCTCATTTTAAAAGAACCCTCTCTCAATTTCATGTTCCCTTCTAGCACCCTATGTCCTTCTCTTTAAGCAGACTCAATTTAATTCTAATTTGGTTTTATCTTTGTTACAACACAGAAATGACTCTCGCTAAAGTTGTCAGCGACTCTTTGTCATAAACTTAATGGATACTTTCCAGACTATATTTTTCTTGATTCTTTTGTTCCATTGGACACTGCTGACCACCTCCCGCTTGAAACGCTGCTTAACTTCTATGATGTCGTTCTCTCATGCTTCTTCTTACCCCAGCCCCTGCATCTTTCTGGCCATTATTTCCATTTCTTCCCCTGCATCTTTCTGGCCATTATTTCCATTTCTTCTTTGAATGTCCATTCTCTGCTTCCTAACCTTTGAAGCCAGAGCTCTTTAAAGCTTGGCTATGTCCCCTTCTTTTCTCTTTCTCTCCCCTGTCACTTGCTGATCTCATCTACATCCCCAGCTTCAGTTCTGCCAGGGACCCTCAAGTCTCTGTCTCCACCTCAGACCACCCTTCTGAGCTTAACACCCTCAGTCGCTTGCTCTCCGATGGTGTCAGTCGAATTTCTCACACTGTTCAAAACTGACCCCCTCATCATCATTCCTACAGGAGGTTCTCCAGGTCCCTGTCGCAGTGAATGTCCCACCATCCCGCCAGTTTCTTAAGCCAAAAACTTAGGAACCCTCCCTGGTAGCTTCATCCCTCACTCTTGCCCTTTTGTTCAGTCTTGTCATTGTTACCTTCTGCCTGCACTGTATCCTAGCACCTGGCAAAGTGCTAGGCATCCAGTGGTTGCTCAGTAAAAACTGATCAGATTACTTCCTGTGTGCTTTCTATGTGCCATAGGAGGCCTCTTCTGGTATAGTAATAATATATTCATGTAGTAATAGTTTCTCCCATTGATACCTTCAGAAACTCTGTGATGGATAAATATTACTATCTCTATATTATGGACAAGGACAAGGTTAGGCAATGACTGTGCATTCAGCACAATTATGGCACATTTCACAATTGAGTCATCCATCTCCCCACCTGGGTTATGAGACCTTAACACAATAAGGCTTAGTAATGAAAAGTTAAATGACTTGTCCTACGTCACAAGGCTAGTGCATAGTAGAGCCGAACCCATTTTTTTCTGGGTTTATGAGTCAAAAAATTTGCATTTAATGCTGTCCCTCTTACTGGCTCTGAGCTATTGGGCAAGTTGTTTAACTTCCCTGAAACTTAGTTGTCTTACGAAAGTGGGACAGTGATCTTTTTGTGAGAAGTGATTTTTGTAAACAATGGGAGTAGTCATTGCTATAACCGTTATCATTATTATTTATGATGTACTAGCCCTGGGACGTAAGAATTGGTAGATGGTAGTTTCTGCCATCTAAGGTCTCCCTCATAGGTGGGGAGACAGATGACTCAATTGTGAAATGCACCGTAATTGTGCTGAATGCACAGTCACTGTGTAAGCACAGAGAAGGAAGTCCTTAGCTCTGCATGGGAGGTTATGGAAGGCTGCTTGGAGAAAAGAACTTATTTTCTCATCAGTGTAGTTGTTGTGGTCTTTTAAGTAAACTTTTCCTGCCTGAAGGCTTGTGGTTTTGTGAAAATCGTGAATCTTGCTTGTACCCGTAAGTGTTTTAATCCTTGTCTTAGGTTTCAGATCTGGACCGTTGCCATTTATACCTGATGGTGTTAACTGAGCTTATAAATCTGCATCTGAAGGTTGGGTGGAAAAGGGGTAACCCTATTTGGAGAGTTATTTCTCTTTTGAAAAATGCGTCCATTCAGCATCTTCAAGAGACGGACAGTGGACAGGTAAGCCTCTTTGATTCCAGGTTTGCAGTTATCTTGAATAA